AGTTATTCCTCTGAATAAGTAAACGAATGCTATTTTTTGCACTATCGCCATTTTTCTAGCCCTATCCTTGAAATACATTTGCTCCACAAACATTTTACGATAAATTTCGTATTTCCTAAAGGAGACAGACTCAACGATCAACAGGGTGAAATCCCAATGGTAAGGCACGACCGGTCATATAAGGTTAGCCTTTGATCGTCACTTTTGAACTCGAGACAATCGATTCTACACGCTCACGAGGGCCGATTCTGTTAATAAAGTATGGTACTGTTATCTACTTAGAATTGTGTCACGATTAAGTTGGTTTCACAGATATTGTAGGGTGTTGAGATGTTTGAACGGATAACTTCATAAGTTTGATCCCATCCTTTCAGGCTGACTCCGGAGAAGACGGTTACGCCGAAAAGTAAGTCATCAAGGAATTGTTAACCTCGTTGGAGTTATATTAATAAAGTTATCTTGACAATAATGCCGAGGTTTATAGGGAACCGCCCGTGGAGATTTACATATTAGTACACGAAATGTAAAAAGATGTTCCAAAGAGTAATAACAGAATTAGAAGTTATCCCCAAATATGGTAGAATAGATCAAGCTTTCTGCGAACTAAATACTCACGCTCTTCATCACTGCACCCACTGAATTCAGGTCTGTGTATCGACAACGAATTTTACGTTGAACGAACGATTCTATGTGTCGCATTCCTAAAATCTTATACCCATTATGGTGAACGGAAGCAGCCTTACTTTGAATAAGGATTCACTCCGGATATTAGGCACAAAGCAAGACGGAAAATTGAAAGCAAAGGAATTCTTAGTTACTCGCCTTTGCCCTCCATCTCCGGGTCAATCACAGTAAATATTGCATTGGAATCCTTTTCAACAGCGTCTAGAAGCACCTTGTTAACCAGAGGACACCTTGAACAGAACGATATTGTGGGATCGTGCAATAATAGGTTTATCATTCAAGTGAGCACCAGTCATAGGTGATGACGTTTGGAGCCGTCCTCATCTTTACTAAAAGATATTCCGAAATGGCTCGGTATGCACTACCAAAGTATTCCTCTTCACAATCTTCTAACCACTTCTTCACATCTCCGACATCCTAAACATCTACGAATCAGCTGCTACAGAAATGAGACTAAATGGAAATTTCTACATATTGAGGAGACTTCTTAACACTAGAACATACAGTAGTAACACATCACTGGATGTAGATTACCTGCAAGCGTCCATTTCTGTCAGGCGACCCTATTTTCATAATTTCTTTCTTCAACTGCCGCACTATGTTTCCCAGAGCGTATGGAAGTGGCCACCGACCTGAGACAACCAATCAAAATTTGAAGAGAAATAGATTTAAATTTGAATAATAACTAAAGAACCATACTTTCGTGGGTAAGGTGAGCTATCTGAGGCCGAAGAGCAAGGTTAAGGTCGTGAGTCAGCGAAGACTCATCGCGGTTTCCCTTTTGCCGTTCCGCGATCCAATCAGCAAGGTACTGAAACGATGAATACTTCACGGTAAAAGCATGATAACCGTAAATCGTGGCTTACTTCTTTGAAAGCGGCAATGAAATTGAGACAAAGCGAGTCCACGTCATCTATC